TTTCAGAAATATCCCAAATTTAAATTCAAAAATGACTGTTAGCTCCGCACCCTCCGCTCATTTGCTCCGCACCCAATATTTCCCACAGGCTCTGTCTGCATAGGGTGCATATGTCATCATATATTATTTTGAGAATAATTTAATTTAAAACATCTGAATTTTCAAATTTCATATGTCTATTTTCCAAAATTCCAAACTTGCAGAACTACCTTAATTATCAAAATAGTTTCAATAGCCATGATCTCAAATTAATCTAGTCTATCATTTAAAACTAATAATATTACCTAATTTAAACTTTAATTTCTTTTAAATAATTAAGTCTAGGCTAGATTACAACTTCATTATTGTTGTTGCTATTATTGTTGTTTTGCAGTTGAGCTTTATCAGTTTATGATCATAAATGTTGATATAAAACTAACTTGTTTGCACACTATTGTGCTAGTGTAATCTGCAAATAACTGTGTTATTTATCTATGTAGGTACGATTCTGTGATCTTTATAGTAATCTCTTTCGAATTCTATTCCTAATTCGGTTTCTAAGATCGTTCTTTTCCTAGATTCAATTCCTAGATTCAGTTCAAACTTTGTTTGAAATAAGACAATGAGCCTCGTTTTAGATTCACGATCTCACTTTGGATAATCAATGACGTCATCATTGTCGTAAATTACTCTGAAATTGAACTTAAATTGTGTTAGTATTCATATTTTGAATTTTATTATTATTAACTCCATAACCAACAAACGCATAAATATTTATACTACGTATATTTATTTCTTTTTACCCGTTGCGATAAGTAGTTCGCCTTTCCCCGATTAAGAACTCACAATCTGATTGGCTGTCATGTATAAATCATGTATAAGTCATTGCACATAAGATCACGTGATTCAGTTGAATCGGGTGCTTCCAAATTGGTTATAGCAGGGGGAAGAAGGAGGTACGGATTCTGGATACCTGCTTAGGAGGATGTTATTCGGTGGTATGCCTCCCAAACACGCTCTTTGTATTTGAACTTTCAGCCTACTGATTGCAGAGGTTGTTTTTGTTACAATGATAAACCACCCAGTATGTTCTATATTTTACCAATTAGAAAGGAAATCATCCAAACTTTTTTGTAGAACATAATAGTGTGGTAGGTTCTCCATTCGTTTCTTTCTCAGGTCAGATTTCTGAAGAAATATTGATCTAATCGATCCTATGCATTCTTGTAAGTAGAAGTTTTTCTTTGGAATTGTGGTCGTTATGTGTTTTACAGCTTATGGTCTAGTTTGACCTCAGCATTTGAGAATACAGTTTAGAGTTCATCCCTGCAATGGAAAACGATAAAAATGAACTATAATAGCACATTAATTTTTTTTATTTATCAACAATAAGATAATAGTGTGACCATGCAAATCAGTCAGTATGATTTAAGATGTGTTGAGAGACTCCTAGGTATAACCAGCAACTGTTTCATTACATACCACAATTCTATTTAATTATATAAGAACTTCTATCAGTTCTTACTATTTCTTGCCTGACTTGACAACAGTTGTCTACATAGATTGTTTTCACTGGTTTGCTTTCAGGAAGTTTTCTTGACTATTCTTGAAAAGCTGAAGTGAAGGAAGTACAGTTTTCACTCGTTCGCCTTCAGGAAGTCTTTCTTGTCTATTCTTGAAAAGCTGAAGTGATGAAGGAAGTTCACATGTTTCAAACTCTCAACCTTTTGGAGGAAGTGTAATATTATACTCATAATTAATTTTCCAACATACTTCAAGTAATTTTTAGTTGTGTCATTATCATATTTTTAACATTAAATGATGCAGCTTTTGCTTTTATAATATAATAAGTGAATTATGAGTATCAGACCACAGAAAAAACATTCAACTCTTAAAATTGGTCATGTTCTTAACTTACTTAGTTTGAACAAAGCCTGAGAGAAAGCCTAAATTCATGAGATGTATCTTATTTTATTTTTCAATTATAAGTGTGTTACCTTTCCTATTTCCCGGCAAACTTGTTTATTAACATGTCTCAGGTTGCTGGTGGAGGAGACTGTCAACCCTAATTCTTGGAGCTTGGATATCATCTGAATAGAAAAAGTATATTTACAAATTAAAACAGGTCTAATTAAAAAACTGTATATCACCAGGCCATGGAAACATTTGAACCGACTATGGTAACAAGTTTGTGAAAATCAAAATTTAACCATTTCTTATTTCTAGTATGATCGAATGAAATATTCAGTTTGAGCCATCTGATATTTGTGTATATTTTCAAAAAATTAAAATCTTCTGCAAATAGAGGCTTTTCCATATAGCTTTTAGATATAAAGTAGAGTAGAACCTGTATATCTGAACACCTGGCTAATCTGAACACCTGGCTAATCTGAACACCTGGCTAATCTGAACACCTTCCAATATGAACACTTTTTTTCGGTCCCATTTTTCCTCCCATTGACTCCCATGAACAGTGAACAACCAGATATGAAAAAGTGACCTGTCTAATCTGAACATTTTTATCAGAAATCAAATGTCTGGACATCTCAATAATAGCCACATATTGAGTCAATGTTATAGTGGTTATTTATCTTTACAACAATGTAATCAAAGAACCAATATTGTCCTAATTAACTTATTTAGTCTCAGTGACATCCCTTATTTGTGGAAAACAACAGGATGATTTGGAAAGGTGTGAATACAGGAGTTAATTGGTTTATCCTATTAGAAAAGAACTGAATTTTTGATGTTTGGATTAAGAGAAAGGTGTGGATCAAGAAGATAATTGATTTATCATGAATGGGAAATTACCTGGATGTTTTTGATTTGGATTAAGAGAACGGTGAGAATCTGGGAGATAATTGGTTTATCCTTATTGTAAATTAACTGGATGTTTTTGATTTGAATTATGAACAGGTCTTAGATGTTTTATATCCCATGGGTCTGTTTTGATAGCTAAGATTCAATTAGTAAATGTTTTATAATCACAAAGACAACACAGACACATTTGCAGACAAGATTATATCACGAGAAAGAGAAAAAATTCAACTTCGTAATATCCTATCACTAAAATGCCTGCTAAAAAGGGATACATTTGACATTCTGATTGCCCTTGATATTTTGGAGGATTATACATTATCCCGAATGAACACTCATGAAAAATTCTTTTTACCTGAAGAGGATATCTACTCAAATATTGCTAATGCTAAAAGTGCCAAGAAACAAACAACAATGAAGGAATTTTCAAGCAAAAGTAAAGCAGTGCTATATAACCATAATATGGGACAAGTCATTTGAGAAGCATGAGATTTCATACGAGACTATCATATACTTATCAGTGTATTACAAAGTTTTTTCCAAAATATAAGTTATTTTTACTAAAATAATGAAATTGTTCAAAATGTAAATAAAAATAGCATATAGGCTGTAGGCCTATTGTAGAATAAACTCATCAACAACAAGTATTGTTTTCTGACTTACTATTAAGTGTTCAGTATAGTGGACTGAACGATGAAAATCCCTCCCCCCCCGATCAACAATATCCTTGAAATTTGAACACCTGCCATGGTCCCATGGGTGTTCAGATTAGACAGGTTTTACTGTATGGCTATATAATACCTTTTGCAGCACAACCGGACTCCGTTTTTGATGCTATGGTAGTGTGCTCGTGGAGCCGGTTTGCTGTCAGTTTTTAGTTTATAGGCATGGGCGGACTCAAGATAAAAACCCTTGTGTGAGTCCTGCTAATGAAAGATTTCGATTAATTACCCCTTTTACGGTAGTGTAACTGCCACCAGTGAACTAGGTTCACAACTAAAAATATACTTAATGCTTACAGAAATAAAGGATCCCTTTTGATTACAATCTTATCCCAATCTGTTACGTAATATGTCCTCGAATTCAACACTGAAGAACAACCTCAAAGGATCTTCTTTCCTTACATTTATCAGACCTTATCTATGATCTCAGTTTCCTCTTCTTCACAGTATAAAAACACCTTATATCAAACACTTCCTTTGATTTACTCTATTTAATATCCACTGGTACCTAAAATACGGTGACCCAGGCTCTAAGATCTCCTCGACCTATCTTGAACGGGGTGACTCTAAATTAAAGGATCACAGTGATTCCACACATACACCGATGCTCACAAAAATCATCTACTTCCACCACAAATTACTCTAATAATACTGTGTAAAGAATATGTTCTGAGATTCACCACAAGATCTTCTCCTTATGTTCATTAAGCCGTGTATATGATACGGGTGCACATTGGTCCTTAATAACAACTACATTCAACATCAATTGAGAGGGTCCTCCTGAATGTTTCTTAGACACTTACTTTATGATTACCAAAAATAAGATATGTTTCCTTCTCCATTTCCTATATACGTGGGACTGCCTAACCCCGGCCAAAAATACCATGAGACCACCATTTAGGTTTACCTACACTTGGGCCACCCCAAGTCGAGAGAGCTGTTTTCTGGGCCTCTCCCCCGGTCGATCTGATTCTGACTGTCAATTCTCTTGTATTTATACCCAGTATTGAATTATGACGTCAGAAACAATGGTTCAGTGTATACTCTAAAAGGTCAATTTTCTACTGGATTGATACTAACGAAATCACTCATATTAATTCATGGTAACAGCTTGGGATAAAGGATAAATCGAGTTTGTATGATATCAACATATATTTATTTAATTACAACATAAAAATGAATCATGTAGGGCCAATTTCATTACACTGCCTCCACCTCAGCTTTCAGCGTCCCTCTGAATTATCTCTATAATATATGATTCACTTTTATTACTTATCACTATCTCCCGATATCATACATATTTACTTTTTTTTGTTTTCTTACTACTTTTTCGGCATAAAATAAAACAACCAGTACATCATTTAAAAAAAATATCTTCCCAGTTCTGTGGGTGTGAACAACATGCCATTTATTCCGTTGTATGTTCAGAAAATTAAACAAACAAATCTTCCCAGTTCTGTGGGTGTAGACAAGCGGTAAACAAGTTAGAAAAAGAACAAGTCAATGTCAATTCAGTCAATTGTGTTGACAATGATGCATGTACGTTTTTCTGTTTCAGGATTGAAAAACATATACTTGGTTCTGCGTCCTTCCAATACCCAGGGAGAGGGCATAGACACGGTAACATCTTCCTGCTGGAACGTAAGGCCTTCATCCTCTTCTGTGTTATCCTCTGCGGAAGTGCCAGCTACTGGGACTTTCTTTTTCAACTTCTTTTTTAGAGGGGATACAGCCTGTGGGAGCCTCATATTATCCAGCACCTCTTTCACTGACTCTTCTTTTGGGGGTAGGGTGGATATGAACTCATCCAGCTGCTTATCTAAGGATCCACCTTCCTCGATGGCAATGCCGTCTTCGTCATTGGATTCCTCTGCCTTGCTGTCGCGCCTCGGTATCTTGGGAGGTTGAGGAGGTGTCTGCTCAGTAGTAGATGTTCTCTTTGGTGCTACTACTGGTGTGCATGAATGGGTCCTTTCTGGGGGGCCTACTTGTAATGCTGGTGCTGTAGCTTCTGCTGTAGGTTCCACCTGGGGGGTCCTAGACATGGACCTCGATCGGGCGCATTCAACGATTCAGTCATTGTCTGGAGGAGGAAGTTCAATCCTTTTACTGGTTTTCACATACCCTGGATATTCTATTCCAGTTACAAACGGAAAGTCTAACGCCTCAATTTTTCGGGACTGGATATCCAATGGGGTAATCCTAGTCCACTCAAGTGTCGTTTAAGGTCACGTTTTACCTTAAACATTACAGGACAGTCTTTGATAGGACATACGTTTTATGCCTGGCATGGCTTCCAACATATCATGATCTGATTTAAACGTAACCAAGATCTCTATTTATTTAAATGAATGCCATTATATTTCAATAATATTATAAATCTTCCATAAGAGTAGTATATACTCAAGTTTTTATGCCCAAATCGACCTCCGGTATCAGTCAATGATCTCTTATGTTTGTGAGACAATTTTCGCGTGTGTGGCCTGTCTCAACTCAAACCAAAAAGATCAAACACCGCTAAATCATTTTCCAAAGTGAGAACATAACAAACTCAAAAAACGGACAATTCAAGGTCTCATATTTACTTCTTTAATACCTAGTGTTTACATATATATATACATTTTGCATTTGATTTGCATCATATCATAATATTACATAGAACGTAATTGCCAACCTAATTCTATGGTTCTTATTTACAACATACTTCTAATCTAACTGCAAGACAGGCTTCTTTATACATGTATTTTTACATAACTACATGTATTTTCTGGTAACCATTTTACTCTGAAAAATTGATCACTCTAAGGGAGATATCACGAATATCGGTGAAGGTACAAGTCTTGAAACTTATTTCTTATTTGTTTTGAAAAAAATGATAAAATCAGCAGGAATTCATGCATGACGCCATTGAAATTCATGTAACATGACGTGAAAATGGCATACTTTGACAATCTGGTAGAACTACTTCAAAGCATGTGATATCTTAATAATCTCAGGTTTCTGTAACTTAAAAGGTAGATCTGTTTGATTCTGTTTAGAATAGGGTCAGCATACCTCTAACTTTTCGGCCTGTTTGTTTTGAAAAAGTGATAAAATCAGCATGAATTCAAGCGTGACGCCATTCGTAAAATGACGTGAAAATGGTGAAACGGGCATATTTTGATGATCTGGTAGAACTACTTAAAAGCATATGATATCTTATTAATCTCAGGTTTCTGTAACTTTAAAGGTAGATCTGTTTGATTCCGTTTAGAATAGAGTCCGCATATCTTTAACTTTTGTTTACCATTTGTTTTAAAAAATGATAAAATCAGCATGAATTCATACATGATGCCATTAGTAACTTTGTGAATCAGTGAATCTCAGGTTTCTGCAACTTTAAAGGTAGATCTGTTTGGTTTTGTTGGGAATAGAGCCCACATACATTTGGTTCTTCGGCCCGTTTCAAACGAAACAGGTCTTTTTATGGATATCAGGAATTCGCATAATTCCTATTTATTGAAATTCCGACTGAAATGAATTTGTGTCAAAAAGTAACATTCTGACGGATGGAGGTTCAAAGTCAACACAAATCATTTAACAATTGTTTTATATAGCGTATACGGTTTATTATTGAACTTCTCCAAATATAAGTTTTTTATGCAGGGTTCTCTAGACCTAGATGAGACCCGTTGGAATGGAAAATAAGATACAAGTTCTACGCTTGTATTTTCTACATTTTCGTATAAAATACATGGACTTTAGAAGCCTGATATTTCAATATTCACCTGGATGTTTAAATATCAGAAAGATTCGTAGTTCCAGGTGGATTATCTATTATGGTGTCTTAAATTGCGGTTGTTACCATTATTCTTTCCCTAGTGCAATAAATTAAAATGATTCCTTGTATTACATTATATAACATTTTATTTCAACATATTTGTAAATTGTACACTTACATGTACGTGTATAACAAGTATAAATATAAGCAATAAATTACAATATTTTCAATTTTTCTCATTTCATGGTTTATACTGAACGATTTGATTTTAGATAAAATTATGGTCTCTCTGGACCAGTTAATAAGCCTATAAGATGTACCGTAGTGACATAGAATTGATCAATGTTGGTGCAAAATATACTCAGTTGAAACGTTTTAAGGTGACATTTAAGTTAATCAAAAGTACAAAAACATGGGAGCCATATTTTTTTGATAAAGTCAGAAGATTTTGTATACTGTTTTCCTTGTATGTGAATGCATTTCCTGACTAAAGAGACACATAAAAGAAAACCTCACATTTAAACACATTTTTCATAACTATGAATTGGAGGTGTATGGCTCCCAAAAGCTAGCATGAAGAGTGCGAAGTGAGGCTATTTTTTGAAAGTTTCAAGGAGTAGCCTTGCAACAGACACACATTTGCAAGAATTCAAAATTTCTAGATATAGTCTTACCTTACCAAGGAACAACGAAGGAGCACGAAAATGTGTACTTCTTGCATTGTTAGAGTATAATAAAGCTCAAACCATTGTGAATTCTAAATATTTCATGTCCACCATTTTGTTTCCTGGAACTATTTTTTAGTCCAGAGTTATCTTCATTCATGTTTCCATTGTTTATCATTCATAAAGCCTCTATCATGTATCTATCATGATAATTACACTGTAATAGATAAAACATACAAGTGATAATCCATGCCACTTGGTGTAGTCACAAAACTTGCATGAGGATTAATCAGGAAGTCTAGAAGTAGTTCCGGCAAACAAAATGTGGACATGAAATATTTAGAATTTACAATGGTTTGAGCTTTATTATACTCTAACAATGCAAGAAGTGCACATTTTCATGCTCCTTCGTTGTTCCTGGGAAAGGTAAGATGATTTGTGGAAATTTTAGACTCTTGCAAATGTGTGACTGTTGCAAGGCTACTCCTTGAAACTTTCAAAAATTAGCCTCACTTAGCACTCTTCATGCTAGCGAGCTTTGGGGATCCATGCACCTCCAATTCATAGTTTGGAAAAATGCGTTTATGTGTGATGTTAACTTTGACATGTTTCATTAGTCAAGATACACAATTCATATACAAGGTAAACAGATTTTAAAAACATGTGTCTTTATCAAAAAAATATGGCAGTCATTTTTTGTACTTTTTATTTAATATAGCGTCGCCTTAAAGTAACACATTTACGATTCTAGGCCGAATTTCGACAATTTAAGCGAAATGAGTCAAGAAAATAGTCTTACCTTTCTATTAGGATGGGTTCAGGTGCCAAAAATAACTGATCCATGGATATATATCATTTTGAAATTTGGATGCAAGAAATATTTTTTCGGAGCCATGTTTTTTTTACGACTCATAACAGGAAATAGATTATCGAAATGAAAACTGAATTTACATCATCAATCCTGGTTTTGACTTAAAAATTTACCGAAATAGATATTTAAATATTATTAAAATGATTGACTATTTTTTTTATTAATCTTATGCAGTGATTCGACTGTCTTCTAAAATTTATAACATAGCTTAAGAATTACAGTGTTTCATCATGCCAGTGTGGCCTAATGGAGTAAGGCGCTGGACCAAGGTTTTGATAGATGGAATCCAGCTGTCGGTGGTTCGATTCCCGGTCAAGACTAAGGTTTTTTCTTTTTTATTTATCTCTCAGACACAATTTTTTTTTAAATCTCTTTTTATACAATATATAGTCATATCTATTACTTTTTGAGGTTTTAGATTTTAGATACATCGTAAATGTGTTACTTTAATTAAAAGGATCATAACGATGACGTATACAGGTACATTAATACGTGCTTAAAAAGAGTGCATATTATGTCTCATCGCTTATGATAATTTACAACTTCTCTTAAGTTGTAGCTTTTAACACAATTTGTCATGTTTATGATACTTTAGTCTTTACTATTTCAATCTTTAAGAATTGCGTTTTGAAGGAGCATTAGTTTGCTGTGTTTTGAAGCTTTTGTACTTATTCCAAGTGGTAACAATTGTTTTTTAAGCTCATTCTTGTCCATTTTTTAATGTTTTCCTTGGTGGTTTCTCTTTGTTTTGTTTCTTCTGTTAGTTCGACTCCAAGCTTTAGTTTTCGTTTGACTTTTCTTGGAGCAGATTCGGACTTACGAAAACGTTTTTTCCTCTTAAACTTTTTCAGCTCATCCATCCGCTTAAGTGCCTGCATAGCTTCAAGGCAGCCATCGTGTTTATTAGATTTTCGCTGGTGGACGGTTCTTAGGTGTCATTTGCTTTCTCAATATGCTGTCCTGTGAAGGACTTAAACCTTCCGTCAAGGCGTCTCACTTGGTTGGGTACATGGTATAGCAGCATGTGCATATAAGGCGTAACATTGCGATTTGCGAAACCTTCTAGAGAGCTTTTATGAAGATTGAGGAAGGATTTTAAAAATTTCTGAGCCATTTTGAAAAGCTTTTCGTGATCATTTGTTGAACTGGACAAGGCATCGAAATAAATGGAACCAAGCTGGTTCCATACTGCCTTCGGTTTCTGAGCTGTTGCATTTGGCATAAGGTTGACAAACATTTCTGGAAGCCTTCTTATAACGCATTTAAGGTCACTCCCCATGAGAGGTGTATAATCGAAGGTTCCCGTTCCAGATTGGTTTTCACGTTTTTCCCATATCTTAAAGGTTACTCCAATCTCTGCCATGCATTTCTCAAGAAGAGCGTGCGGTGAATCTCCTTCACTTTTGGAGTTGGACATTTGTGTTGTCATCTGTTTTACTAGATTGCCTAGTAAAACCCCTCCTATTCTAAGAAAAAGGTGTAATTCATCTAAAATAACCCTTTCAATTGGTATGGTCAGCAGAGGAAGGCTTTTTGGCCATATTCTCCCACTTTTGTGTGGTCTCTCTTGAGTTGATCAATTTCGTAATAGTAGATGGGAAATGTGGATTTGTATCGATCGTCTTTGTGGACGTTACAGTTAACTAAATGCACCTTTTGAGTGTTACAATGCACTAAATGCACATTATATTATATTCATATGCAGACAAATCTCAATTCTATTCAAAAATGTACAGACAAAAAAGTTGCTAAATATTATGCATAGAGGTAAACCACACCCCTTTTCCATCTCTGTTCTTCGATGATGTAAAGGAGATAGATGCTATGGGTATCAGAATGAACATTAATATGAGGGTAACATTTTATTGGGTCACTATGTACTGCACTATGAAAATAAGTTACTCCCAACAATTGTATGTAACTATAACACACAGTGTTCCTTTAGATTTGGAGATTAACTTACATATTACAGTTCTGAAACGTTGTATCTCCTCTTGTAAAACGTCTATGCTTATTTGTGGTGAGCATACGGATTCCAGCAATATTCTGTTCAGATTCTCTCTTGGCTCCCAGCTACTTTGATATATCGGATAGCCATTCCATGAAATGAGATATTCGGGTTCCTAAAACAAATCATGGAGATCTGTGTTACAATATGTCATGGTAAATTGACAACATGTTATGGGTTTGGTCTCTGATACCCCCGCTACCATAGCCTCAGAAAGTAACATGCAACATACGTAGTATGAGTCAAATGGCAGGACTATTTATGTATCTCATCCCTCAAATAAGTAAATTATTAATTATTTGATAAGGCTAATATTTGGACATTAAGCTAGGCCCTAAGGCCTAGGCTAGACCCTATTTAGGCCTAGTGAGTAAGATAGAAGAAAATGAACTTTGATTTTCACAACATTGAGCCCCATTGTGGTTTTAGGGGTACATTTTTTAATTTGGGCATCGCTCATTGTTCATTTCTGGATCCTGGATCCGCCTTTGCAATATTTATGATTTTAGTTTTTTGTCTTCAAATCAGACGAATGGATCATTTCGACATTTTGAGTCTTGACTTTCTAAACAAAAAATGTACTTACTCTTTTAGAAAGGTGTCTCACAGTTACAATTCTATTCGCCGTGATCCATTTACTTGTTATATTCTTGTACACCGGCCGCGGGCCTCTCTTAAATTTTATTTGGTTACTCTTAAAAGCTGATCCAAAGTGAGAAGTAATTTTATTTTGTCTTTTTTTTTTATTTCAAAAATGGCGGCACAGCTTCTGTGGGTGCACAGGGATGCTTTGGACTTATTTACAAAGAGCTATTTTCTATGACAGCTATTAAAAATGCAAAAATAAAATAAACATGACAATTAAATGGTATATTCTTTCCCTTTTTTTGAACAAGGGCCATTCAAATGGTAACTAACAGAATATTACATTTCGGAATCGGGCATTTACACTTTATGTCGAGCCACATATTTTTTAGTGAAATTACGCTATTCGACCAATTCCGTGCAATGATACCAGGTAAAAATGCATTATTTTACCTGTCAAAATTGTGCAAATTTAAGTAAGAATATTGCTGATATCATGTTTATGTAAGCAAGATTCAAATCATAATTCCGAGTCGTGATTGGTTGTTGGAAGCATTACCTTGTCAGAATTATATTGATATATCTTTGTTTTGGCTGAATATAGTAGCGTAGGGATTCCCCTGCACTAAACCAAACTGAGGTCTAAATAGTATCATAATATAAGAATGCAGCAAGATATCTTTACAATGTTTGAATATCAGCTTAATATAAATAGTATTTAAATTGGATATAAATAATAAATAAATAATGAAGTAATTATATATAATTATTAAATATAATTACGCACTGACCGAATCATAACAATATGTTCAGCATAAAGTTTACATTCATTTTGGAACTTCAAACAAGCTACACCATTGTTATATATCAATGAGATGCAATTTATATATTGTATTGTATTGTTTTATTTCCTTCATATTGAAGATTTACAACATTTAATTAACAGTGGTTACATTATATCAAAATAAATAATAATAACAGTTCCTTATTGATGAAAATCTTTGATGCCCTTATGTCCACTAATGCTTCAAACAGTACATTACTAATTGATATCATGATTGTGTTTGCAGGTGACATTATAAATTTCTCTGAATAAGAAATTTTCCCCAATTTTCTGGTTGATTTGTGTTCACTTTTTGATTTGATCATCTAAATTTCAATAACACATTTTCGCCTTGCCCTTGCGATGCATACTCATTTAAAGAAATTGATTGATTAGATTCTCTAATGACTAGTGATCTAATAACGCAGATGCGAGTAGGTAGTTACCAGTTTCACCACCAGGTGGCTCGTTCGGGTCAGATAACATGGTGGGTATAGTAGAAAGTTCCCTTTAACTTAAATAACATCTGTTTTAGTGGTTCAATTTTCATATAACCCTTATGTATCTTATAGTTATGCAAATAAAAATATGTCCAGTAAATAAAAATGCTATCTGACCGATACAAGAAAAGATATTTCACTTTTTGTGATTTTGTAACATGGGCTCTATGGAGAATCAACCCGAACTAGAAGTCACACTTTCAAAGATAATTAAATTTTCAAACTTGATAAACAATTTTCGAAACCATATTTCTAGATGTACTTTTACATGTAGATTTCAAATATAACATCGTTTTTACTGAATTTTGAATATTTAATGGCGTAAATCAAGATTTTTTCTACTCGCATCTAGTCTATTGAGAGCACATAAAACAACAGGGAGGGCATTCCCCTTTTGAAACATTAGTACGATTATTGATCATGGAATTGTTACCTTGATCTTGTCGAGATTGTGCTGAGTCATCGTATTGGTACCACCATTTATCTTCTCTGTATGCTGCCCACATAGGCGTGTGCAGCATACAAAACATATGCATGGGGCCTGAATTGATATTGAATAGTCCCAACATACTGGTTTGAAATACTCATATTTACAACTACTCACTGGAATCTGATGAAAATTACATCACCAGTCATATATGTGGGGTAAAAACACTTCATGAATTAAAAATCATGCTGCATAGTTGAGAAATACCACAGATTACATTCTTAGACATAATTATGAAGAGATATGCCCAAAAAAAAAAATTGCTATTGAGGGCATAATAATTTGGACCCTGGGGAAAATATTCTTTCCCTGGGAGCCGAGGGAAATAAAATTTTTACATTCTAGTTTATCTCCTTGAATCACTTGAAAAATCACTCAAAACGATTTTATATTGAACTAGTTACATGTATTTAGTAATTATTTACAACCCTCCCCCCATAGTTGACATAATTCTTCTTACATTTTGCAAAGATTTTGAGTTTGAAGTTCCAGAATAAAAATTACGTCTAATTCAAATTTTCCTAGCACAAAAGACTCTTATTTCACTTATTTTGGCCTCACGCATGCGCCAATTTCTTATCACATTAGAACAGGCTTTGTGTATGCGCTAAATGAAAACTATATGGCTGCAACCATGACACGTAAGAAATTTGATAATAGTTTGCATCATTTGATTTTGTTGTTGTTGTTGAGGAAATAGTTGTTGCTGTTGATTAAATTGTTGCTGTTGGTGTTCAATCGGTGGTTGAGGCTGTGTCATCTACTGAGGTTGTTGTTGATCTGGTTGTTGATGAATCACGTGTTGTTGTTGTTGTTGCTGCTGAGGTTGTTGTTGCTGCTGAGGCTGTTGCAGATCAGTTTGTGCTTGTATTTTAGGCATAGCATTTTTTGTGTATTACATGTCTTATCAATATTTACAATGTTATGTTGTTGCTTATCATTAGTCTTTGAGTAGTTATGATCTGCATTTGTATCTTTAGATGCCATGATCAATCTAATATAGAGAAAACAACTATGATTATGAGAATACTCCCGAGCTATGATAGAGTTCTTGAAATTAATTAAAAACACTGGCCAATGCCAAACCTTGTTTTGACTATGTTAGTGCTTTTAGTAGTCGCAACACCATATAGTTGTTTTCCATTATGATCATAATTTGAAATAATTGATATTATTAATTGAATTGAAATTGTGAAAGTAAGTAAATGAAAATACTAAGTGCTGAAAATGATAAAAACGCCATGAAGAAAGGAAATATCAATTACTTGCAAATTATTCATAATTTTTACCTAGATTACATAGAGCTGTATCTAAGTTATACCTAGTACTATGACTGCTTTGAGTATGATCTGTATCGATGAAATATCTTATTAGATTTGCAATAGTTAAAAATAAAAATCAACAGAAGTTCAGAATTTTTTTTAAATAAATTGTTTTCATTAAAATGAGAAGCAAATCCAATTTTATTTTTTTATTTTTTATATATCAATACTAGCACTATGATCTATACTTTAATACTATTTTATGATATTTTATAGAAATATTCTTATCATTAGTATTATTCATTATTGTTGTTAATTTGACATAATAATCTGTACTTACTTACAATCTTTTCATTCATTGCATGGTTTATTGAATTTTTAATGGCCTTTTTATGTTTCTTAAGACCATCTAAGTTAAGATGGATGGCATCAGTCTTTAAAAGATCTCCAAGAACCACATTTCCATGTCCTCTTGATCTCCATATGACTATGTTTTCTAGTAGATTCTAATGCGCTTTTTTAATCAATTGTTTGTTCACACCATTTATAATCTGGATGGCACGAAAAATCTCTATAGGTTCTTTTAAATGTTTCCAATTATAGTTACGATTCATAAGCTTGCCAATTATGCTTATAAGGTTTTCTTTAAAGGGAATGCGAAGTTTTGTCCCTTAAACTTGATAATAAGTTTAAGGGACATACATCTTTCAATCCAACTTCGTTTTATTGTTCTATCATTATCCCCTTAATAGTTATTGAGCCCCGGGTTTTGCATATGAACTGGACCACGGAG